ATACCTGCACGCGCTCAGTACATAATATGCTTCCTGTTTGGTACAGGTTAAGTAAGAAGGGGTGGAGGCCAAAACCGTCAGGAACTCAAAGGGTTATAAGACTTAGAGTACCGGGAGGACGGACACCTCGGTTGTAGCTCTCATCCTGTAGCTACAGTTAGGTAATTACACACACACACACACACACACACACACACACACACACACACACACACACACACACACACACACACACACACACACACACACACACACACACACACACAAACACACAAAAGGCTGTTAAAAAAGTTGAGCAACAGTCAGGAGTAAAAGGGAAGGTGCTCCAGTGGATAAGGGAGTACTTAAGCAACAGGAAACAGCGAGTAACGGTGAGGGGGAAGACATCAGAGTGGCGAGATGTCACCAGCGGAGTCCCACAGGGTTCAGTACTTGGACCCATCCTGTTTCTAATATATGTAAACGATCTTCCGGAGGGGTATAGACTCGTTCCTCTCAATGTTTGCTGATGATGCAAAAAAATTATGAGAGAATCAAGACGGATGAAGATTGACAGAGGACTACAGGATGACCTGGATAAAATGGAGGAATGGTCTAGAAAATGGCTGCTAAAGTTCAACTCAGGAAAGTGTAAGGTAATAAAATTAGGCGAAGGGAGCAGGAGGCTGAACACAAAATATCATCTGGGAGGTGAAATCCTGCAAGAGTCAAATAGAGAGAAAGATCTGGGGGTTGATATCACACCGAACCTGTCCCCAGAGGTCCACATCAAAAGAATATCATCAGCGGCATATACTAGACTGGCTAACATAAGAACTGCCTTTAGAAACTTTTCTAAGGAATCATTCAGGACCCTGTATACCACTTATGTAAGACCAATCCTGGAGTATGCAGCTCCAGCCTGGAGTCCATACCTAGTTAAACACAAGACAAAGTTAGAGAAGATTCAGCGGTATGCCACCAGGCTTGTCCCGGAACTGAGAGGAATGAGCTACGAGGAAAGGCTGAAGGCGCTGAACCTCACATCCCTGGAAAACAAAAGAGTAAGGGGGAGACATGATAACCACCTACAAAATTCTCAGGGGAATTGACAGGGTGGACAAAGACAAAATCTTCAGCACGGGTGGGACACGAACAAGGGGACACAGGTGGAAACTTAGTACCCAGATGAGCCACAGAGACGTTAGAAAGAATTTTTTTAGTGTCAGAGTAGTTAATAAATGGAATGCACTAGGAAGTGATGTGGTGGAGGCTGACTCCATACACAGTTTCAAATGTAGATATGATAGAGCCCAGTAGGCTTAGGAATCTGTACACCAGTTGATTGACAGTTGAGAGGCGGGACCAAAGAGACAATGCTCAGCCCCCGCAAGCACAATTAGGTGAGTACACACACACACAAACACAGGCACGCACGTACGCACGCACGCACGCACGCACGCACACACACACACACACACACACACACACACACACACACACACACACACACACACACACACACACACACACACACACACACACACACACAAATAAAAAAGAGAGACGTACACGCATCCCTCTAAACGCTTCATCCTCGTACTGTAAATACAAATTATTACCAATAGAACCGAAACACCTAACCTAACCTAGGCCTAACTACACAAAATTATAATATATGTATTAATAGTAATTTATTTTCTATAAAATACCGTTTTTGATGCCATAATGCAGTACAACTGACGTGTGTCTTGGGCGTTGGCCACGGCTTGGGGAGGGCTGCCTGGGGGTGCATCCGCCCTTACACCTTCCCCACGCGGCCCTCAGACTGTGCTTCCCCAAGCGGCCCTCAGACTGTGCTTCCCCACGCGGCCCTCAGACTGTGCTTCCCCAAGCGTCCCTCAGACTGTGCTTCCCCAAGCTGCCCTCAGACTGTGCTTCCCCAACCGGCCCTCAGACTGTGCTTCCCCAAGCGGCCCTCAGACTGTGCTTCCCCAAGCTGCCCTCAGACTGTGCTTCCCCAAGCTGCCCTCAGACTGTGCTTCCCCAAGCGGCCCTCAGACTGTGCTTCCCCAAGCGGCCCATCAGACTGTGCTTCCCCAAGCGGCCCTCAGACTGTGCTTCCCCAAGCTGCCCTCAGACTGTGCTTCCCCAAGCGGCCCTCAGACTGTGCTTCCCCAAGCGGCCCTCAGACTGTGCTTCCCCAAGCTGCCCTCAGACTGTGCTTCCCCAAGCGGCCCTCAGACTGTGCTTCCCCAAGCTGCCCTCAGACTGTGCTTCCCCAAGCGGCCCTCAGACTGAGCTTCCCCAAGCTGCCCTCAGACTGTGCTTCCCCAAGCGGCCCTCACACTGTGCTTCCCCAAGCGGCCCTCAGACTGTGCTTCCCCAAGCTGCCCTCAGACTGTGCTTCCCAAGCGGCCTCAGACTGTGCTTCCCCAAGTTGCCCTCAGACTGTGCTTCCCCAAGCGGCCCTCAGACTGAGCTTCCCCAAGCTGCCCTCAGACTGTGCTCCCCAAGCTGCCCTCACACTGTGCTTCCCCAAGCGGCCCTCACACTGTGCTTCCCCAAGCGGCCCTCAGACTGTGCTTCCCCAAGCGGCCCTCAGACTGTGCTTCCCCAAGCGGCCCTCAGACTGTGCTTCCCCAAGCTGCCCTCAGACTGTGCTTCCCCAAGCGGCCCTCACACTGTGCTTCCCCAAGCTGCCCTCACACTGTGCTTCCCCAAGCGGCCCTCAGACTGTGCTTCCCCAAGCGGCCCTCACACTGTGCTTCCCCAAGCTGCCCTCAGACTGTGCTTCCCCAAGCTAGGGCCGACCCCATACGCACATTGTCACTGTGTAATCAAAACTATATTTTCTCGGATATAAATGAATATTAATGTGCATAATAGTTTTGTATATAGATAGACCAAGACCGAGAGATAGTTGGAGACAAGTTCGTAGGTGATCAGTTGTACGCCGTGTGTGGTGTTATATTCATAAACAGGTGGATCTTTATGAGGACGGCTTGAATACAAATAATTCCCAACAGAACCTGAACACTAACTTAACCTACGCGTACCTCTACATAGAACTTAAATATATAATAATATTAACGAATATATGAGAAGAAACCAATTTTTAATACAGTGATTAGTGCGTTCTGGGCATGGCCGCGGCTTTAACAAGCCTGGCCTGAGGACAGGTTACATAAACAAGGGTTTGGTGGCTGGATTAATCATTTGGGCATTGTTGACGAGGCCAGGCTGCCAAATTACACAATATCAGACTCGCTTATTCGGAAATTTATAAAAAACTAAACAATTCAATAAGAATCATAGAATATCGAACGCTTCGAAAAACAATAAACAACACAGATTTATTCGTATAAACGTGGGCGAAGAAGTCGGCCCCCGCTTGGACGAGCATAGCCTGAGTGACAGGTTAGGGGGGTCGTCCGCCGCTTGGACCAGCCTAGCCTGAGTGACAGGTTAGGGGGGTCGTCCGCCGCTTGGACGAGCATAGCCTGAGGGACAGGTTAGGGGGGTCGTCCGCCGCTTGGACCAGCATAGCTGAGTGACGGTTAGGGGGGGGTCGTCCGCCGCTTGGACCAGCATAGCCTGAGTGACAGGTTAGGGGGTTCGTCCGCCGCTTGGACCAGCATAGCCTGAGTGACAGGTTAGGGGGTCGTCCGCCGCTTGGACCAGCATAGCCTGAGTGACAGGTTAGGGGGGTCGTCCGCCGCTTGGACCAGCATAGCCTGAGTGACAGGTTAGGGGGGTCGTCCGCCGCTTGGACCAGCATAGTCTGAGGGACGGGTTGAATTTAGTACCAAAACGTTACTATTCTAAATGAACAGCTTTGCGCGATCAATTGTCAAAAAGTTCGAGTTTGAATCATCCATTAATAAAATGTTAAAATTTTCCTAAATTCCTCGTTGTTATCGTTCGATTTTTTACGTGATTTGTAGCTTTATCCAAACGTTTGGTCTTGCAGCATGTGTGACTTTTGTAAACGTTTGGTGTGGCGTAAAGTGGGATCTGATCCTCAGCTTACATGCTGGAGTTAGTGGGATTCGAATCCATATCGTGGATTTGAATAGTTTTATGAGGGGAAAAAATATTTGTGTATTTTTCGTAGCTTATACTAGTGATTTAAGTATTTTAATTAAAATTGAATATTCACTGTGAAAATACAGATTCATTGTGAAAAACAGCAAGTAAATATTTCTGGTTAACGACTGTGTATAGTATGCCTTTGTGATGACCATGGGTGATGACCATGGGTGATGACCGTGGGTGATGACCGTGGGTGATGACCATGGGTGATGACCATGGGTGATGACCATGGGTGATGACCGTGGGTGATGACCATGGGTGATGACCGAGGGTGATGACCGTGGGTGATGACCATGGGTGATGATCGTGGGTGATGACCGTGGGTGATGATCGTGGGTGATGACCATGGGTGATGATCGTGGGTGATGACCGTGGGTGATGACCATGGGTGATGATCATGGGTGATGACCATGGGTGATGATCGTGGGTGATGACCGTGGGTGATGATCGTGGGTGATGATCATGGGTGATGACCATGGGTGATGAACGTGGGTGATGACCGGGGGTGATGACCATGGGTGACGACCATAGGTGATGACCGTGGGTGATGACCATGGGTGATGACCATGGGTGATGACCATGGGGTGATGACCATGGGGTGATGACCATGGGTGATGACCGTGGGTGATGACCATGGGGTGATGACCATGGGGTGATGACCATGGGTGATGACCATGGGTGATGACCATAGGTGATGACCGTGGGTGATGACCATGGGTGACGACCATAGGTGATGACCGTGGGTGATGACCATGGGTGATGACCATGGGTGATGACCATGGGGTGATGACCATGGGGTGATGACCATGGGTGATGACCGTGGGTGATGACCATGGGGTGATGACCATGGGGTGATGACCATGGGTGATGACCATGGGTGATGACCATGGGGGGTAATACTCTCCTAGCACCGGCAGGTTATGGGCATGAGTATGAGGATAATACCTCACTATTATCAGTCTATTATGAAGATAATACTTTCATAGTGTTATTTTTTGAAGAGAATACTTTGCTGGTGCGAGTCTGTTAGGAAAACAACTTTGCTGGTGCGAGTCTGTTAGGAAAACAACTTTGTTGGTGCGAGTCTGTTAGGAAAACAACTTTGCTGGTGCGAGTCTGTTAGGAAAACAACTTTGCTGGTGCGAGTCTGTTAGGAAAACAACTTTGCTGGTGCGAGTCTGTTAGGAAAACAACTTTGCTGGTGCGAGTCTGTTAGGAAAACAACTTTGCTCGTGCGAGTCTGTTAGGAAAACAACTTTGCTCGTGCGAGTCTGTTAGGAAAACAACTTTGCTGGTGCGAGTCTGTTAGGAAAACAACTTTGCTGGTGCGAGTCTGTTAGGAAAACAACTTTGCTGGTGCGAGTCAATTAACGTAGAGACCAATTTCAAAGTATTATTCTATTGTATTATGGCGTTTCTCTTTGCAACGATGATTTCTCGATGCCAAATAGACTCTCACTTATTCGAAACTCTCTTTGTATACTGTAAATAATTGTTGCAAAGCCTGACATGTTTGAGAGTTTAGTATACATAGCGGACTCGTCGCTGCGAGAACACTCCAGTAGGACCACATAGACCAATATAGACCTTTTGCAACTTTCCTTTAGTCTTATGTTCCAGTCCAAAACCATCTTACCCAGATTTTAGGAGGATGGCAGCAATTCCAGCTATTTGCTTGATCAAAGGTCAAATTCCGATAACAGTCCAGTTGCCGCCCCAAAATTCCAATTATAACCGGACCCGGAGACAACGGGCGAGATAGCACTGTTTTTCACCGCCTCTCCCCTCCCCTCCCCTTCCCCCCCCCCCGCCTCTCCCCCCCCCCCCTCTCTGTAGTCTCTTTCCTGATCGTTATAATCCCAGCAATAAGCGAGACCTGCTCGCCCCGTCAACCGTAAGGCCTGCTCATCCGGCCTTTCCGTGCGCTGAAATGGGATTTAAGGGCAGGGAAGGGATAGCCCTGTGTTGGCCCGAGGTCGTGAACTATGCCGCATATTTCAGGAACTCTACGCCCTCTTCCAGGCAAGATTTAAAGCTAAGGATAATTTTGGCTGATTTATATAATGTCTCTTCGCTAACTGCGGTGGAGAGGGGTGGGGGTGGGGGTGGGGGGGGGATGAAGGGGTAATAGGAGAGGGGGAGAGAAGGAGGGGGGGTGAAGAAGAGGGGGATAGCAAGATACGTTTTTAGACTGATAGTTAAACAGATACAAAACGAAAAAAGTGTGGCAATATAACGGGAGTGAGAGTGCAACAGTTGTGGTCTATGGGTTGTGATCAACAATGCTCGCCTGCCACCATATCTGCCCCGAGTGAGCTATGACCCCCTAACAAACGCCCGGGAGTGAGCTATAACTAGACACATGTTGTTTCGCTCTCTGTGGCGTCATTGTTTTGTGGTGGCAGCCCGTCCATTATTGCAACTACCGTCACATTGTGGTCATAAATTAGTTCACGGCAGTTTGGCCGATGGTGCGGGTTGTTTGCTGGTCATTGGAATATAAATTCATGTGCGTTCGTAGATGTATGTAATCATCTAGATGTACTCACCTAAATGTGGCTCCAAAGTTGAATTTTAATTGTCAAGCTCCACTTTTCAGGCTACTGGTAAATTTAAAGCCATATAATGACGCTCTTTTATCCTTTATATTCTCGTGGGAAATTGCTTATTGAATTAGTCTCTACTCTCTTTTCTCGTAAATTATTCCATATAATTGAAACTCTTATGCCAAAGTTTCCTCCCTTAGTCTCTAATCTTATAGTGCCTCATTTTGAACACGGCATTTTCTTCTCTGGCAATTTTCCCCTTGGCATTTTCAGTTCTCAGGCAGATCTTGTAAGTTGTGACTATTGCGTGCAAGTTTGAGCTCCTCCAGCGTGGTGAGGTCGTGTTCTCTCAGCTGGCTGTGTTGGTGGAGTCCCCGCGGCTCCGGCACCAGCCTTCTCACTTATCTTTGGAATTGTTCTACTTTAATTTTATAATTTAATTTGATGATGTTCACTGATTTCACTGATGTTCCCAGCCTTTAATTTATATAATTTTTCACATCTTTACTTAAAGATATGTATTCTAGGTCGGAGCTGCATACACGGGGGTCGGTCTTATGTAGGTTGTTCAGTGTTTTGAAGATGTTTGTTTAAGCTCCTGACGAGTTCGTGAATAGGAACTAGATGTGCTGATGCCAAGTATTTGTTTATATACTACCAGATGTTTTTATTCCCCTCTGTTTCCGACAGCTGTCTCATATTTACCTAAGAGCGACCATCACTACGGAGACATGAAGCCGGCGGCTGGTCACATTCCCCCCCCCCCTCCCATTATTTCAGTAATGTCCTTTGCGTTTCCTTTCACCTGTTTTTATTATATCTCATTACTTTGCATTTGTCAGGGTTTAAATCTGATAACCATATTTCTAGCCATCTATGAAGCGTGTCTAAGTTTCCCTGCAAATGTCTTCAATCACCTTTTGCTGTACTTCTTCTCATCAGTTTTTCCTCATCTGCGAAGAAGGATATGAATGATGCTGTCTCCTCCGGCAGGTCGTTAACATATGGTGCTAATATAATGTCCGAGTTACTGTCTTCCTGACCCTTGTAACTCGATCATGGCATTTCGTCTCTCCGTTGTTCTCTGTTTCCTGCCCGAGAGGTACCCACTGTCAGAAATCTCAGCACTTTTAAGGCACAACAGTATTGTTCTTAAAGTTTGTATA